AGAGAGAGAGAGAGAGAGAGAGAGAGAGAGAGAGAGAGAGAGAGAGAAATAGACAGACAGAGAGAGAGAGAGGGTGGCTTTGGCTGAGTTGTTAGAGCAGTCATCCTCCAATACAAGAGTTGGGGGTTCGAATCCACCAGCAGTCACATGCTGAAGTGTCCCTGGGCAAGACACTGAACCCCTTGTTGTCTCAGATTTGTGTCCCATCGGTGTATGAATGTGATAAAGCTCTGATTAGTCTCTTTAGAATGATTTGTTCAATTAACTTTGTAGAGATATAGTAGAGTGCTTTATGAATGGGTAAATGAGGGCACAGGTTGTGTTGTAAAGTACTTTGAGTATCTCAGTAAGATAGAAAGGCGCTATATAAGTACAGTCCGTTTACCATTTACCACATATATATATTATCAATCTACCTAGAGGGGTCACCACTAGGATTTATGGCAAACCCCTACTGCAGCCTCTCCTCCAAGGGGTATATCTAACTAATCTAGCACATGAGTATTACCCAGAGTGACCTTAGGTTAGTTCTGTTTAAGGCTGTGTTGAAGGTGACTCACCCAGATTGTTAACGACCTTCATTTGCAAGTCACACCCTTATCTCACCCCATGACTCACCCAACCTAGCAGCCGGGGTTGAATCATTGTCCATGGGGAAAACGTTGGTTACGTACTGTAACCCCAGATTCTATGAGTATAGGCGTAGCCCTTTAAGGCTGTCACTGGTGGGTTTTATCCCGTCATACGAAGCATTGCACCGAAAAAATTTAGTCCACGCCCACCTGTTGTGTGGGCCCCACCTGGTCCGTATAAATTACATTAAGAGCAGGTAATCGGTTCCCAAATAGCTTTTTCTTCAGCCACTTAGGAGCCAGTGAGGCCCGACGCTTAAAGGGCTACGCCTATACTCATAGAAAATGGGGTTACAGTACGTAACCAACGTTCTATTTCGTATAGGCTTCACCCTTTAAGGCTGTCGCTGGTGGGTTAAGGGTGAAGCGGATGTGGTCCTCGCCTCACTGGGTCCATTCGAACACCATATGAAGCGAAAGCTTGTCTAAAAACGTCTTGTCACTCAGCTCCCTATGTATGTAATTACGCGTTGCGTAATTATGCGTACCATGCACAGACGCATGCTGTGTAGATATGCGTTCTGAATGCATGAACGCCCCGGAAAAGTTTCAACGGGGAGGGAAATTGCTGAAAGGAGCCATGAACCAACAAGTTCATGGCTGAACAGAATGAACAGATTAATAATAACAAGTGAACTGATTATTAATCAAATGAACTGATTGGTAACAATAGTCATGAACTGATTAGTGACAATAGAACCAAAATAACAACTTGTGACTGATAATAACATCTCACACTGTAATGCATGCAGTCAGATGTGAGTTTAAACGGGGTTCCATGAAACAACAATATTCATTCTGTTAAAACACTGTAGTGAACTAGGCCTCCGACAACAATCTGTCTCTGAAGACCTTCATGGGACAGGAACTGTTATTTCATTGATTTGAATCCAGAAATACAAATTAGCTCATCAAGAGACTATTTAATTGTATCCTGAATTAATCAATTGAAAGAACACTCTTCTTTTTTCATTATCATTACTATTTTAGAATATCTTGATAATCAAAGTGTGTTTAGTTCATACCATTTCTAAATGTTGAAGTGAACCACTCATTTTAAATCAACTGTGAAACAGTATTAATGATTTTTAAACCTCATTAGAAGTCAGAAATCAAGTTAAATGTCTATTTACAAAGTAATTGTGCATTTTGATCTTCTGTCTGAATGAGGAGTAGTGATGTCGGTCAAAAGTCAGAAAGCAAGTTATTAGAACGAAGTGTCTTGTTTTTAAACTTAGAAGACAGTAAATAACTTCAGCTAGCACCTGCGTTTGTCTCACTTCGCCATAACATTCCTCTTTCTGTACTAACCGTTCCTAAACATTCCTGCTGTCTTTTTGACTCCTAATAACCCTCTGACATCACTAGAACCACCCCCCTGCTGGTTGTTTCAACCAATCAGGAAGTACCAAGTGACCGGAAGTGAGTACTCTTTTAAAAGTCAACACTTCCTGGGACTATTCAGTCTTCCTAGAGTCTTTCACCGGAGTATTCCACTTCTGAGTGGAACTTCGGACTGACTCTTCTTCAATGTTTTTCAGTCTTTCATTGAGTCTTCCACGTCTGAGTGGAATCTCTGACTGAAGTTTTCCTGAGTCTTTCTTGGGACTATGGAGTCTTCCTGAGAGTTCCTAAGGAACTTTCAGATTTAATCTACAGCTGATGAATTTGACCGTGAGACGAGGGTCCGTCCTTCCCAGCTGGAGTCACAGCGCCTCGCTGTGAACTCACCCGGGCGTAACGCCCTACAACTTCGAAGGAAGCTTGTTCAGTTGAACGGTGTAAAACCACACGACTTCTGACGATGACCAGCCACCCTGACGGAGATGCTGTAAAGGTAGCGTGCATAGGGACATCTAGGCCGGAGCTGACCCATCGATCTGCAAAGGTAAAGAGACGTCACGAGTTGCTACGCAATAAGTGGACCGGGGGTTTGAGCTGACGTTGAAAGAAGCGTGCTAATTCTGGTCAACAAAACATACATCTCCCTTCATCCATCTTCCTTTTGAACGTATCTATTCTTTCCCTTAAACTTCTATTTTGCCAGTAATCTAGATGCCTCCATCAGTAATGTTCTGTTGTCTTGTTAGTAAAGCATGCCAAGTTTTTATTAATCAGAAACAGATCAACAAATCAATGTGTACATGTCTTGATGTTAAATTTTGATTCTGTTAAATAAATGACTGCATTTATTCTGATGGGTCAAAGATAAAATGGCGTCTCATGTCACTGATTAAACAATCCTCACAGTTATCTCGGTCACATGGCATTAATTTAACTCGAAAAAGAAAGAATCCGTTGTATTTAAATAATTAATATTCTTTGTGCTTGAACTAGCTTTAAGAATAATTAATTAGTAGTGAAGCTACAACAAAGCTGTCCCTGCTTCACTACAACACTAAGGACAGAATGTGTCATGGAACGAGCCGTTACATCACGTAAATAAAAACAAATAAATGAGCAGGGTGTTGACCACGTGGCCACAGTGCAAATATCCTGCATTGTCATGCCATTATGCAAAGCAGTTGAACATGCGATACCTCTGGTCGAGTGCACCCTGAGGTTGTCAGGAGGCTGAGGTTGTCAGGAGGCTCTAAATCTGATGCTCTGTAGGCTTCAGAAAAGGCCTCACACAGCCAGTGTGACAGGCCCTGGGTGGATAACGGGCGACCTGCAGATGTATCTCTATAATGCACAAACAAATGTTGAGTTTGACGCATTGCAGCTGTGCACGCTATGTAACACGTCAATGCCTGCACACTGCACAGGACAGAGCAGATGGAAAGATGTTTCTTCTTCTGCTTTTGGGGGGGGGACCCCTCCAACGATATTGCTCTTGATTTAAAAGAGCTTGTGATGTTTTAGGCATAAAGGCTGGATTCGGTCTTAGATCGGCTGAGCTGCCATCAGCCTGAATTCTGAGACATAACGGAGCAACAGAAAAGGCAGATAAATCACTCGCCCTCTTAGTGGATGTTAAAGCCAGCAGCAGGGCTGTCTTAAGAGACAAAAATTTAATTGGAACCTGATTCAGTGGCTCGAATGGATCTTTGATCAGGGCCCGCAGGACCAGCGTTAAATCCCACTGTGGAGCAAGTGGGCATGAAACATGCCTGCGTCTCTGTGCACCTTTTACAAAACGCTTCATCAGCGGATGATTAAAGGCTGTTCTGTCTCCGCAAAACCTTTGTGACAAGAAGAGATGGCTGCAGCATACGTTTAATCGTGCTGAACGCCAAACTTCTGTCCATCAGCTGCTGCAGAAAGGACAGCACGCCACCTAGTGGACATGAGGTGGCCTCTACACCTTTCTCTGTACACCTTTTACAAAA